CAATCCAAGGCCGCAGAAAAAGAGTTACATTGGTTGCCAAAAAGAGTACATTTTCCAAAAAAAAAAAAAAAGGAAATGTAGAAGGTTTTCTCTTTTGATTACCGGATTCAATAAAATGATATGTGTGCAATGTAACATCCAAATATATGTTGATATAATAAAAGTAATATTTGTTTGCGTTTTAGTGACTATATTCGTACATATAACATTATTAAAATTGGAAAATTAAAATTAATTCGAATTTAAAAAAAACTCAATCTTTTATGTATCAAACGTATATATATGTACAGTCTTTAGGTGTCACGAACCAATTAGAGGGCCGCATTCGCATCTTAAGACATTACTTAAGACAGTCTTCAAATAAGAACTGACTATATGAATACCTAACACAACCTAGTACAAACCAAGCATAACTTCGTATAAATTTATAAATATTAAATAATAATTTTTTACATTCTGTCTCATTTTTAAAAAAAGAGTACAATAAGTGAAAAGTAAGAGTACACTGTTTTCCGACATCGAAAAGAGTACATGTACTCTTTAAAGAGTACGGTTGGTAACCCTAGTGTTAATTGACTAAATTTTTTTGGTAGTTAAAGTATAAAGAGTGACTCATCTCAACAGTACAAATAAGATGTCTTTGTATGCTTAAAACATTGGATCAATCAGTAAAAAAAAAAGTAGATTTCATCGCAAATTACATTAATTTAGTAAACTTTTTTGGTCTGACGTACTTATACTTGAGCGTCAACTTTTTAACTGATAATTTAATAATACAATACATGTCAATACAATTCTTAACAAAATTCTTTAATAATAAAAAATATTTAAAATTAAAGATAAAATTAAAGATAAAATATAATTTTATTGTAAAATATAAATTTTAAAAGTAAAAAAAATTTTTAGATGTTTACATAATATTAAATATTTTTATTCTACTTTTTAAAATTTTAAATGTTAAAAATGTTATCATGGGCAATATTATCTACTTTTTCAATTGTTATTTGTTCTTATTAATTATCAAGCATTTTAAAGCTTCGTACAATGGTACCTGATGTAGCCTATACCTATACATTTCAATGTAATCGCGGTCATCTTCACGAATTCTTTCAGCGTTCTCCTTTTCCTTAGTATCTTTTTTACTACTTCCTCCTTTTACTCTTATACAGACTCCTTGTGTTTCTTCTATGCAGCTTTTTTGTATTCTCCTATTTTTATTTTACTAATCTAATTAATAAAACTATGTCATTTTCTCAACATTAGATTCACATCCACATTTTTAATTATCGCCGTTGGCCTTTTATGGCTTAATTATCATAAGTAGCGGAATTCAATGGTGGGGATTGTGGAAGCCGCGTTTCTTGGGCAACAGTCTTCTTGGTAGCACCGAGCACGATCAGTTTCTGGTAGGACGCGTCTCTCTTCTCATCGATGATCGAAACCGTGAAGCAAATCGCAATCAAACTTTCCCGGCATTCTTCGTTCAAGCGTGCCAATCTCGGTAGAAGGTCGCGGTCACGAGGTTTCTGAGTTTGTAAAACTAATAATCTCGCAAGATTTAGTTTCTTGTTTTTTTAAGAAAGGTAAGTACTCTACAAAAAAACTATTATTAAAAAATTTTTTATTTAATATTCAACAAGATTTTTTGAAAGCTAATAATATTAAGTATTACCTCTTATAGTCACATGTATACATCAGTGTACACAAATTTGTATACCTCGTCTCAGTAGTTTATAAAATTTTAACTTGATTATAAAACAACAAACAGATTGAAAACAGGTATCAATCAACTCAAAAATTTTTGTTAACATTTAAATTTATCGCAAACATACAAGTTCCAAAAGCAAAAGAATTTTAAATTTTATTGACCAACATATCAAATGTTATTCTATTTTTAGAGAATATTTATATATCACTTTTTAACGTTTAATATAATATATTATTTACTTGATTGCTTTTTGATACATTATCTTTTTTTTTGTCGAAATTACAATTTTATTGGGTGAACTCAAGCTATTCTCGCTGTCAAACTTCAAACAGATTTCATAGATTTTAACAAATACTAAAATCTTTTTAAGACCGTACAATTGATAAATAATAAACTAACAAGAAGAAGGAAACCGCAATAACTGTCAAAACCAATAACGGTCGAAGCTGGATCACAAATGCTTATTAAGATTATGTGTGAATTTTATGTACCGCGTATGTAGTTCGCGTGCCGAAATTTTTTCATAGATTTCATTTCATTGCCTACCTAGTCCATTTTTTCATTTACTTATTTCAGAAACATAACCATTTATGCTCGTTTACTTTTATCTTTTAACTTTCATAATTGACTACTCATTTTATATAATGTTTACACTATTACGTGCCTACTTTCAACCTTGACGTTGGTTTCTTATTAAACGTCCTTATTTAAGTATCTTCATTTTAAATAATTCTTTGACTATGTATTTTTTTTTTCTTAATATATCATGTTTGGCTATAACAATTTATTTTAATATTCATTTAAGTAACTTTTTTAATAAATATTTTGAGAGGACCCCGTTAACCTACAGATCGATTGCCCACAAGTATTATTGTCTAAAACTCGATTGCCTACATGTATTTGCTATAGGCAAATAGGATGTAGACAAAAATAAATATAGGCAATCGAGATGTAGGCAAAAATACATGTATACAAAAATTAATGTAGGCGATCCGGATGTAAGCAAAAATACATGTAGGCAACCGAGCTGTAGGCAATAATACTTGTAGTCAATTGATTTGTAGGTAAATGAGATGTAGGCAAACGGTGCTGTAAGCAATCGATTTGTAAGCAAACGGAGCTCCCTCAATATTTTAATGCCGAAATTTTGTGCAGCCGAAACGGTCAGAATTGTTATTATCTATGGTATGTAAATAAAAATTATTATAATTATAAGTTAATCAACCCTAAATTTTTTATGGTTTTTACCTATATTAATATTTTTAATAGCAAATAAGTAAAAACTATGTTAAAAAGTAAAAAAAGTTAAAAAAAACTACATTTATTGATACGATGATCTTTGCAAAAAAAAGTAAGTTATTCTCAAGCATGTAAAATTTTAAATGAAAATTGCGCATGAGTACATCTTCCATGTTTTTATTATATATATGATTGTCCTAAATCAAATAGTACAACGAAATATTTAAAAAAAAAAAGTTATTATCTAATATATAAAATTTATCATTTATCATTCTAAGCAGTTTTTAAAATACAATAATTTAAGAGCAAATCTCTGACTAATTGTAGATTATGGTTAAATGGCTATCAAGTTGTATTTATCTGTCCACGTGTTTTTTAATTTAATTAAAAATGAAAAGAACTTAGATAACAAATATAAAAAATATTTGAAAATATTAGATTAAAATAAAAACAGTTTTGCGGCTCCAAGAGTAAACTATAAATATAAACACAAATTTCTGCTTGCTTAAAAATACAAATTACATACTTTCTTATTTAAATATCTATGCGCAAAAGTGCATGTAACGTTCCACACAATGGAGATGTCAGCAATAACTTACATATGAATAATCAATCTGTAAGTAAATAAGAAATGGACAAACGGTAGACAATCAATTTATAGGCAAAAAGAGTTCTTTCGTTTAATATAATAGAATTTGCATTTCAAGACTAAAAAATTGTTCGACGCGCAGTTTAAAAGACTTCATACGTAATAATTGATAGTATATATATTATTATATTATATAAGCGCCTACGATCCAACTAGACCAAAGGCATCGTTTCGTACTGGTTATTGTATTAAATTTTAATCATATTTTTTATCTATATTGTCATACACATATATTTTTACTTATAAGCATTTTTAAAGATCACTTTACCATTTTTTTTATACATATACTTTTTCATTTTTCTTAAATTTGAGTGTATCATTATACAAATATATGTATATTTAAGTTTAAATAAATTTTATTTACTAATTAAGATTTTATTTGATTGTATATATCTTAATTTATATATATAAATTTATATATATAATACTATATATATTTATATATATAATGGAAGATTAATTTATATATATAAAAAAAGTCACATAATAGCGTAGCATTTTACTAATATAGCTCCCTAATCGTGCTTATTTCTTCTCTTTCTTTTTTGAGATTATCATATTAAAATAATTATTCTATACAAATTGATTATATTTTTATTCTTACTCAGTAATATATATGAACCATATGTTATATACACGAAGAGAAATCTGTTATGATTTTGGGCCTTGGCACACAAAAAATTTAAGGCAGTAAGACGTAAGCAGTAAGGAAATCAACGTTGTGGATTTGCCTACTGTAATTGGTCAATTCGCTTACTGCTAAGAGCCCCAACACAGACTTTTGCATAACGCATAAAGCATGTGCATAAGGAATTTTATTGACCCATTTTCTTATGCATGAGACAATAGACCAATCAAATTCTTTATGTATATGGTTTATGCGTTATGCAAAAGTCTGTGCTCCCCGCTTAAGTCTTACTGCCTTTGTGTGCCAGGGCCCTTTGGCACGAATAATCGTCGGTATTACTATCACGTGACCTATTTCAATGCAGGCAATCGGGATGTAAACAAAAACACATGTAGGCAATAACACATGTCGGCAAAAATACATGTAGGCAATCGATCTGTAAGCAAATGAGATGTAGGCAAACGGAGTCCTCTCATTTTTTTTATTTGTTAAGGTAGAAATAAATGATAAAAATTTAATTAGCTTTTTAGTCATTATCATTTTAACGAAATATAATTTATTCGATTTCTTATATATACATATTCTTTTTATCTTTACTTTAATTTTATAAGTTAACATTAAAAAATAATTGTTCTAGTTTTCCGTTTCATCATAAACAGTAGGTTTTAAAATTAAATATTATTATATTTTTTAATATTTATTTCAGATTTTCTCATAAATAGGAATTATATCTTTATCAAGTGCCGTCTCTGTCTTTAGAAAATTATACCACTAATATGACTAGTCTTATAAAACTTGTCGTTAGCAATTATAACGAAGTTCTAAAAAATGTCAAAGGTAAGTCTTTTTAACAGAATAATATCAAATTTATTATAATAAGTGTACATATATATTAGTTTACAAAGAATATTTTTCTTTATAAATAAATCGAAGACTTGTAAAAAATATTCTAAATTGTATTTATATATTATATATTATATAATATATAAAATATAAAATGTTTTATTATAAAAATTTAAAATAAATTTTGTGTAATTCGTATGACTATTCTAAAAATATATTTTTAGTATATTTACGCAGCAAGTTGACATTATTTGTTATCTTTTGTGGAAAAAATATGTATGTCATTTTAATATTAAAGTAATGATAAATAGCTTACTAAGTAGCTATATGCATTATATATACGTATATATGTATACATATATGATATTCAATACATAGTTGAATTTTTCTGTAAAACTTAAAAAACGTAATAGTAATTAATTTTTTTAAATTATTTTTATGGTAATTAATTATATATTCTAATTGCTTTAAACTTTAGAGTAAAAAGCCTAATTACTGATAGTGTCCTAAATGCTGGCAATATGATTTTGAATGCTATTTTTGAATATATAAATTATATTATAAGTCCTAATTGTATTTAACTTTATTTAAATATTTTGAAAATGTCTATTTATAAGTAAAATTAATTATAATATTTGAATACTAAATTTTATAGAACTGTACATGTGAGACACAACCAATGAGAAATTGCCATTAACAGTCAAGTTGGTTCTTAAGTGCTATTATAATTTCGTGTGAATTTATATATTATGTATGTACTCTTTCAAACCGCGCAACACAAATTGTTCGGCGCGCAATTTGAAGGACTACATACGTAATATATAAATTCACACGAAATTATAATAGCACCTAAGATCCAGCTCGATCGTTAAAAGCAAAATTAATTATTAAAAAAATTACTTAAAATATAATTTATATAATATATTCAAAAAAGTATTATAAATTTAATTGCTAGTATTTAGATCAGTGTATTTGGTCAGTTAGTATTTGGTCTTTTTAACAAGGAACAGAAAAAATTAATGAATTGTGCAACTATTTATAAGAATGTAAAGTGACGAAAATAAAAAGAAGAGCGTAAATCGAACGTAAGGGGGAAATACCGTTATACAGGGGGAAATATAGTAGAAGTACAAACAAAATTTTTAGAAAATTTGAATCAAAATTTTATAACAATAAAACATAAAAATAAGGTAAACATCTCTTTATTTACACTTTGATTTTTATTTTTGTCAGAGAATATATCAAAATCATCAATTGTACACGCAGACCATAAGAACTATTTGTTATTTATAAAAATTTTTAACTGTGTATGTGTACACAACAGCTAAAGAACTCAATTAAGTAAAAACGCGCATGTTTTGCCGCATTATTAAAAGGTGCACTAAATATATACATTTTTTATTAAACTGTCATCATAAATGTTTGTTCCGCCTTTTTATTCTTGTATATATGTATGTATTTCAATACGAATCTCTTCACATATTTAATACATTTTAACAAACTATTTTTTACTTTACATTCAAATAATACAATGTATCATGATTATTACCCTTTTTCAGAGGTGCCAAAAAGTTTGATACAGTATCAGTGCGCTCCTCGCCCTGATAAAGTAAATACCGAAGTTCACAAAACGTTTGGCATTAGCAATGACACGACATTGCAATAATCCGCAAACTCTTTGACACTTCTGAAGAAAATATCTGTAAAAGCCTGAAAAGTATAATTACGCTTTTTATTTTACTACAATGTGCATAATTTTTATTGTACATATCTGTTGTGCGTTCATTATTACAAATAAACGCACACGTCAAAAAACATATTTTTTGAAAACTTGTCAAAAATAAATTACACTTGTTTATAACAGATCCAATGGTAGATACTTGGCCTTTAATGGAATCTCCAGGTCCTATGTTATGTATTGTTGGCGCATATTTAATATTCGTTTTAAAAGTTGGTCCAAAAATGATGGAAAAAAAACCAGCCTTTGAGCTAAATGGTCTCATGATCGGATATAATGCATTTCAAGTACTTTTCAGTATTTGGTTGTCATCTTTGGTAAGTTTAATTCTTTATTCGTACAATTTATTCCATTAGTATTTAAAAACAAGGAAAGTGTCATAATATCTACGCAGCAAACACAGCATATAACTGCAATATTACAGCAATATTGTAGTTATATTTTATATGTTTGCTAAATACTCCATTTAATAATTTTTTACTTTGTTTTGTTTACTATATTTAAAGTGTTTTATATAAATCTTGAAATCACACAAAAGAGATGTTTTAATTAATAATTACCTATATTAGAGTTGCACATATATTTGCGTATACATATAGATATAAAACATGATTTAACCATACTATCTTTTGCACATTTGAAAAGATAAATAATAATCTGCATATATAAAAAAATATTTATCAATTTTAGGCATTGGAAATCGTTGATGTTAGACACTTGTTTTTTGCTCATGGATATGATAATCGTTTTTCACCTCATTTACAAAACACGAACTTACAAATAAAGGTAAATATTTTCTCCTTGTCATTTTTAGCAATATTAAATTTAATTTTAATTTTTGGTTATTTTAATAAGTAGTACTTATTGCTCAATATTATATATCAAATGTAATAGATATCACGAGGCGCTTGGTGGTATTTTTTCGCAAAAGTTATCGAGCTTCTAGACACAGTAAGTAAAGTAAACATTTATATTAATAAAATTAATCGATTAATTAAAAATTAAAACGTTTACGTTTGATTTTTATTATTTAATTAACTCATAAAGATTTAATAAGACAATAAAGTATATATATCGTACTTCCGTTATTTAAAGTAGCATCATTGTGTCGCCATTTACTCAAGGAGAGCTATTGTAATCGTATATTGTGAAATATGAACAAAGCATTTTTTTAACTTGGTCATCAGAAAAGCATTTACAAATTGTTCGTATTACTTTTAATAAATTTAATAATCTTTTTTAAATGTATCCTTCTTTAAAATCAATATTAACGTACATGTGTGATAAAAAATATAAAAAAGTATTTTAAATACTTTAAATTCAAAACATATTTAATATAGAAATAATACAAGGAATACATTGTAAACAATATTTATATAATAGCAATTATAAATATAAGGATATAATAAAATATAAGAATAAAGTATTTAAATAAAACATAAATAAGAATTTTACGTAAAAAATATATATATAATATAAATGTTAGAAGAAAATAAATTTCTAATGTATTGTGTTATTCAAGGTATTTTTCGTGTTGAGGAAGAAGCAAAACCAAATTACTTTCCTTCATGTTTTTCACCACAGTACAACGGCCGTTTTCTCATGGTGCTATTTAAAATTCCTTCCTGGCGAACAAGGCATCGTCATTGGTTTCTTAAACTCCTCAGTCCATATCATTATGTACAGTTATTATCTCATCGCAGCACTTGGGCCAAAGTATAGAAAGTTTCTCTGGTGGAAGAAATATATGACTTGGATTCAGTTGGTAATTATTATTGTTTATACATATTTGACAGCCAAAGCAAATTATAAAGTTTTTAATACCTTATTTTATCTATTTCTTGTCCATTTATTAATAAGATTAATTAAAGATTTGTATTTCTCTCTCTCTCTCTCTCTCTCTCTCTATATATATATATATATATATATATATATATATTACTACGTGTATATGTCTATAACATTCTTTAGAATACATAATATATATTATATATATGTACATGTATAACGTATTCTGTATATATGCATTCTAAAAAATGTTGATGTGGATTTAACAACAGAAAATTATACATATAAACACCGCATAATATTAAATTCAAATCGCTATTCTTTAGAGTGTGTGTATATATACATATATATATCATTTATTATGTTATATATATTTTATATATATACATAACTCATAACATAATAAACATAATATACATACATATAGTACATATTTTTACATTATATTCTAAGTTAACATTTTTTACGTCATAATAGAAAGTATTATAACATTGCTTTTTTTGCTTATTTTAAAAGTGATACAAATCAATAAACGCGATTTTTTAGTTATTACTATAAATGAGTTATAGGTATAAACATTTATCCTATTAAAAATTTATAAAATGTTGTCCAACGTTGTAACTGAAATAAAATGATTTTAAAATAACTCTTTAAAATAGGGTGATTTTAAAATAACTTTTAAAAAAATGTCAAAATTCTCACAATTTAAAAGCATGATTTAAAAAATGTTTTAAGGGTTATAAAATAAAAATAACAATAATGATATTTAATTGTGTTTAGAACTTATTTTTTACTAATATTATTTAGTTAATTAATACTTTCTTGTCAACTCAAAAATATGTATAATTTCTCCTCTTTTCTAAGAAACTTAATTTTCTTAAGTTTTATTATTTTTTAAGTAATGAAGCAATAAAATAATTTATCTTTTTAAGTTAAGTCCCTTTATTTTTATTTTCTTTTGTTAAAATCATAAATAGTATTTATTTTATTTGTTTAATGAATTATTATTTTAATGTTTTATTCAATTAAGTAAACAATCGTGGAAACATCGGGGAAAACTACAAAAATTAAATTTAATAATTCTCTTTCAAATTTCAGGTACAATTTGGCTTAATGTTAGTTTTTCTAGTACTAACATTGATCATGGATTGTCGAACACCAAAAGCTCTAACTTATTTTTTCACAACAGTTGTAATAATTTTCATATATCTATTTAGTGACTTTTATCGTCAAGCATATAAAAAGAAAATTACTTAATAATAAATGTTAAGTCTTGCAAATAACCAATAAATACAGAACAATTTATTTAAATAAACTTATATTTAAACGTTACATATGTAATAAAAGTATTGAAATTAATGAGGGCAAAAAACAGCGCGGAAAAAGTAGCTTACCTACAATAATGCACCAATTATGTCATTGGCTTTTACAATGACATAAAACGCATCGAAAATGAGTAAAAAATAATGTACATTTAAATGTAAAAGTAGATGTAAATTGTTTAAATTTCTAACTAGTTTTTAAACATTTAAAATAAAAATTTCGTTCTTTTACATATACATTTACACCTTTTTACATTTAAACCTTTTTCGAAGAATTGTTTATTAAATTTGTTATTTAATCAACATTATTGATTATACATACGTTCTGTGTAGTTAACTATTATTGACAATATTTAATTTGGTAAAAGTTTAGAAAAGGGGAGACATCCCCGATGACCTTGACCTTGACATATGTTGTCAAGATCATGACCCTGAGTAACCCCCCGCAGGTTTTAGGTGACGGTCGCTGTCCGTTAAAAAGTTATTAACAAAAAAGTTTTAAAATCAACGTATCATTTCTGGGAAATTATACATATTAACGGACACCGTGCCGAAGACCTTGATATGATGTTTACAATTTCATGATTCGCGCATACCTCAGGCATTCTCACTCACAGTGTATATCAGTCAATAGATGAGCTAAATTGGATCAGAACACGTTTGTGGACATGCATTATCTGCCATATATGTATTATAACAAGTACTATTTTATATCTCTTTCTGTTTAGAAACGTTAAACTTTCCACGCGAAGTAACTTTTACCCCTCCCCCTCCCTGCACAGGGGCACAAGACTTCTACGATTATACTGTTGCTATGATAGTACTGTCGGGGCAGACCTCTGTCGACGGTGTGGGTACAGGGGGGTGGCCGAAGGCCGCCCCCTTGCACGTGTGTGTTTGTGTGTGTGTGTGTGTGTGTGTGTGTGTGTGTGTAAAATATCAAGTAATAGACTCATAATCGTTATATAACGAATGGAACACACACACACACACACGGGCAGGTGCAAGGGGGCGGCCTTCGGCCACCCATCCATTATTTTTCCTATAGATTTTCATACAAAAATAATGGATTTCTAATATAGCAATATTGTATATATATGTGGATTATTATATTATGTATACAATTTTCTTTAAATTTAAATTGTACAATATCTAAATTGTGCAATTGTATAAGACAATAAAATGTAGATATACATTATATAAATAGCTAATTTTAAACTATTATATTTCAAGAACTATTGTGCAGAACAACAATTATAGCAAATACTTTTATTATGTATTGTTAATTAATAACTTATTTCTTTGAGAACTTTCTATGTTTTAATTCGAAAATTTTGAAATAACCTAGGTACGTTCGGCATTGCAAATCGGAGGCGTCCGTTTGCACCTTCATCTCGGAAATCGTTCGGCAACTCGTATCTTTCTGTTACATGTCATCTCATCTGCGTTCGGTATTAACATTTCTAGAGCTAATCAAGCTCCTCAATCCACTGTGGATTCAAAGACCTCGTAGAGCTAATGCAAAATTTTGCGCCTAAATTGAATATAATCTTTCAAATCATAACCTTAATGTTAAGAAGACCCTCAAATTTTGATAAAAATACGCGAAAACGCATCAATTGAGCACATTTTTATCAGAATTTGAGGCGGCCGAGATCTTCTTAACATTTATCTTAAAAAACACTATGGCAGCTCTATATCGTTCGGAATCAATTTTCGGCACTTGATTTGCCCGAAAATCACATGATCAAGCTCACCATCTGCTAGCTCGCATCTCAGATTTACATTGCCGAACGCACCTTCTATATGTATATATTCTCTTAACTATAACATTTTAATGTTGTAAATATAAATTTTTAAAAGAATACTGGAGAATACCAACATTTAAACAAAATACCTAAGATGTATTTGTCGCAGTCCCGCATTTTTTAGAGTTTAGACTAATCTTTTTCCCGGTATGAAAAATGTAACAAATTAATTAGTAAATTTCGCTCGTTTTTTGCAATGCAAATTAAATAATTAAACGGTTTAAATCAAGCTAAATGGATTTAATAATAATAATTATTGTTCTTAAATTTTGCAATATAAAAAATACTAACAAAAAATGTCGTACGTTTTGGAACTCACAGATCCTTTTTCAGCGATACTTATAGATGTTTACATCGTTGGATTGATAATATTCTTATAATATGTGATAATGCGTTACAGCATGCTGATATAACAATCATAGTTCGGATTGATTTTCCTGTTCTCAATGCGAGTGTATTGTAAAGGCACGTGAAACAGGACCATCATTACAAATTAGTTCGATCGAATTAAACGTAGATGTAACAAATTAACTTTTTAAATAATGGTAACGGTAACGAGTTAATGAGATTTAGTTATTAATAATTGTAACTGATTAGGGGAGCAAGGAGCTAGTTGTAACAGTAGCTAGTTGTAAACAGTAACACGCAATTTTTACTGAGATTTTGAATTCTTTGACGTCGAATATTTAACACAATCTTAGCCTTATAACTCCCTGCATTACGTAAGTACAACCAGTATTCCGCCAGGCAGTACTTGATTGGTTTCATAATATATTCAATATTCTGAAAATTGTTACAACATGCCCCTCGCTCCCCTACTTTTAAAAGTAACACTTGTCATTTTCTGATATTAATAATCTCTAATATTTACTCAATACACGATTAAATTTTTTTGTACTTAAAAAATGCAATTATTACAATTAATAATACAATTCAATTGCTTTATACACTTTGCAAAGTAAAGAAAAAATCAATAAATCACGCGATGTACTTTTATGAATACAAATGTAGGTACCTAGAATTATAAATTTTACATGCGCATAGTATAAACTATTTGTAATTGTATTGTATTCAATAAAAGATTTAAAATCATATACGATGGATATTATTTTATCAGTGTTTCTTTTCTCTCGCTTAAGTTACTGCGAAGATTAATGAACATAATATGGAAGAGAGAGAGAGGGAGAGAGAGAGTAATATATCCTAAACAAATTTATTCGTAAAATATGTAAATTACAATTAATTACAATTAAATTACAGATATAATAATATTATTTTGTTTTGTGTACGTTATACTAATACTTTGTTATGTAAATATAATAATCAAAATCGTAATAATCCATCTATAATATTGAACATTTCACAGATAAATCATAACAAATTATTTCCTCATTTTGATATGATCCGCAATTATTACACTTTTTACTTTATTGCATTGAATAATAATAATAATAATAATAATAATAATAATAATAATAATAATAATATCTTTATTGTATGTGACTCTCATTACAGAGATAATAGAGTAATAAAATAAATGATAAATTACAATAAAATATATGTTGTAGATAATGTGAAGTTCCATTTCAATAGGCGGGGCGACAGCTAAATAGCTGATTTAAAGCCGTACCTGTATATAGACTTAAATGTACAACCAGAAACATTATAGTACATATAAAAAATACACAGAATTACAATATAAACAATTTAATGCAACAAAAGCATAATTAAAAAATGATCAAAAGTAAGAATAGAGAATAAGTAGAATAAAACAATAATAATGGTAATATATAGTGTGGTTAAACGAAGTGTACAATATTTGCTCAAATACTAAAAATTAAAATTATGAAATTAATTGTCAAAACAGTGCGCAATGGCATATTAATAATTAGTTTAAAAAATTTGTCCGTGTGTTTATATTTAATATAAGTATTTAAAATAATTTTTATGTTCTATAACATTCTCTAATATTATATTGTTACATCTAAAGAAGAATACATTCAAGAAAAATTATTTAATTTATTGATGATAATGCAAACAATCGACAGATACTTACTTTTCCAATGACCAAGTTAGTAAATGCTTTGTTCATGTTTCACAATACATGGTTGCAACAGCTTTTCTCGAGTAAATGGCGAAACAATGGTGCCACTTTTAATCGATAACGGAAGCATGATATATGCTTTATTGTGTGTGTGTCTTATGAAACCTTTATATGTTAGTTAATACATTTTAATTTTTAATTAATCAAATTATTATTATAAATACATGTTTACTATATCTGAAAACTTGATGAATATGATTTTAATACAAATTAATACGTTAAATTAGGTTTTTATTTCATTTCTACACGTATCGATCTCCATTTTGAATAATTTGATATTATAAAAAATTATATACATATAATTTTTTGCAGTAATGCACGCATAATACTTTGCAGTACGATACGTAATACAGATTATAATTTAAGGTAAAACTTCCCCTTTACACAGTCAGTCTCAAACTTATTGTTCTTTCGTACACCAAATTGTGGTAAAGCTGAAATATGTACCATGTGTTCGAAAATTACGAATTATTGAAAAAAATGCTTTCATTAATAACTTTTCAACGAATAACGAGCAATGGGAATGGTCAATGTCCTTGACCTTCTTAAGGGTTAAGATCAAGGTCACTCGGAAGTCATTTGAGGCTGACTGTGTAAAGGGAAAGTTTTACCAAATTTAATATATATATATTGTTTATTTACGTGCCTGAAAGAAAACGTTTCTCACTTCACATATACCAATTATTGCAAGAAATATTACTAAGGCCTCGGTAGTCTAATTGGCTGGTACACTTGTGTAAAGCGAGAGATTCGGGTTATACTCTCGGCCGAGGTAATATTTTTCGTAATAAGAATTATTATTTTCAGATTTATACATCGTTAAAGATCGTAAATAAATTGTTACAATAATGCATTATGTTAATGATACATACTTTTATTCTACAACAAATTACACGCATAATATATATTATAATACAAAATTGCGATCGACATAATTAGTTAATCATCCATGTGAGGTCGCAGCACTGAAGCTCACAATCGACCAATAATTTTAGGGCGATTTTTCAAATATAAATCATTTGAAAATTTAGAAAAACATAGAGCAATTGATAATTATTTACAGTAAGAATTCTACTTTAATATTTCTAAAGAATAAACCGTACACCAAACCTTATATATCGTATTCTTATTTAAAAAATAATACAAATAATATATGATTTCGTACT